GTGGTAGTAGTAGTGGTGGTAGTAATGGTATTGGTGGCAGTAGTCGTGTCAGTGGTAGTAGTCGTAGTCAGAATAGTCGAAGTAGGTGTATTTCTAAGTGTTGACGTTGACTTTGTGTTGGTACAAAGCTTGACCCATGCATTGAGTTTCTGTTCGTTGACGACATCATCTCTTGCTTTCCTGTTTCCCAACACAAAGATTCGTGCCATCTAGAGCAGGATCTGTCATTCATGATGCAGGTAGGGATTTAGTTTCCATGCTGACAGGATCCAGAATTGGTTGTGGAATCGTTGGGCTGTGCGGTCTTTGAGTGACAGGGCGATTCTTCTGGGGCTTGCCCGGCGTGGCTGACTGGGAAGCTTGTTGTTGTGCAGGGATGCTGCAGTCGAATGCAACATCTTCTAACTCATGAATTAGTTTTAACCCTCAATCATGAGCCGCTCTTGTGCAAAGGTCCTGATTGTGATCACTGCGTGATGCGCTACGATCACCACTGTCCTTTCGTGAACAATTGCATTGGCCAGCGCAACTACATCTTCTTCGCCTCCCGGCGACCGTTGCGCCCCGAAACCCTGCAGCCCCACACAGAATACACAGGAAACCCTAGGAAAGGTCTTCGTGCTGTTGAGGGGTCATGTCCACAGTTACCAGTTAAGAGCGCTCTTCCAGCCTTTGTTCATTCGGACTTAGACATCTGAAAAGCTGGGACGTCGGCTCCAGGCATAACAGGTTGGGGCCTGGGTTCTCAAGAAGCTTGTATGTCTGGGATTGACGGTCTTGGATTTAACGGATTTGCTGCCTTCGAAGTCTCGCATGCCAAATCCTCAGTCCTACGCCTCTAGGGGGTAAAATTAGAGGACTCGGAATGCGGATCTGGTTAGGCACCGTGGGTCGTCTCCTATGCTGGGTCATGTCGAACCACATGGCATGAAGCTGTCGTCATTCTCTTCAGGGCCCACCTAGTGGAGAAACGGCCAACAACTGGTTGAACACTACCTGAGTCGCGACAAAACAGGCTCCTGGTTTAGGATGAGACCGCAGGCGCAACGTTTAGGGTTTAGGGTGTAGGGTTTAGGGTGTCTTATGTGTTGTTTTGCACAGGCTGAGAAGGAAGCCCAGTGCAACAGACGTCTAATCAATTGATTTCTCCTGCCATGCATCACCCGCCATGCCAATGCATGAGCATGCAGACACAAACACAGACTGGGCATGTATCTGTCTGTCTGCCTGCCTGTTTGTCTGTCTTCCTGTCTGCCTGTCTGTCTGTCTGTCTGTCTGTCTGTCTGTCTGTCTGTCTGTCTGTCTGTCTGTCTGTCTGTCTGTCCACGCTTAAATACATTTTTGGATGTATATATATATATATATGTTTGATGTATACACGTGTCTTTTTTCTACTGTAGACCTATATGTCTGTCGTTCTATCTACGTTTACGGCATGTGTGTGCGTCTGTGTGTGTGTGTGTTTAGAAGGTATGTGTATGTATATGTATATGTTTCAAAAAGTATGTACACGAAGATGTATACGGTATACGTATATGCATGTGTATGTACACATTCATGGGTATGTGTAAAACTCGAACTGTGTTAGTTTATCTTATCTTGTGCACTAACCTTCACTATCTTATCTTATGTGATCTTACTTAGACATATCATGTTGCCTTGTATTATCTTATCTTGTGTTATATGGCGTTAAGCTATATTTTGCATGTACATATACATATATATGTAGGTGTATATGAGTACATGTTTGTCCGTGTGCATAGTTTTAGGTGTTGGTAGTTGTATATGTTTCGCTATATTCAGATGTATGTGTCTATGCACATGTGTTTATATGTGAACATGTATGTACGTATGTGCATATATATATATATATACACATATATTTGCATGTATAATTGTGTGCATACGTATAGTATATAGGCAGGGAGGTAGGGTACGTAGGTCAGTGGGTGGGTGGGTGGGTGGGTGGGTGGGTGGGTGCGTGGGTGGGTGGGTGGGTGGGTGGGTGGGCGGGCGGGCGGGTGGGGGGGTGGGTGGCTGGGTGGGTGGGGGGGGGG